TACCATAGCGACACTCGGGCGCTAGGTTCACTTAACATATTTCGTATAGGTTAACTATATTTCGTTCATATGATAACTCAGAATGCACAAAATTTATATCATTTGAAGAATTATCTAATCGTTGCCACATATTCTATTCAAATACTATATCGGAGATCATCATTCGTTAAGTGGTGTTCGACCCGAAGGCCTTTACCACTACATGTTTATCAATCCCCTAAGGACCTGTAAAAGTTCGTTAAATTCCATAAAATGGAAAAGTCCTGTGCACTTGTAATAAAAGTGCAAAGTCTTCAGTAGTGAAGAAGTTGATCAGGAGTGACGCCATATATCGGCCACAGATGAAGTCTTATCGTTGGATAAGCAATAATAGCAACTAATAATTTTGGCATATCTTTTCGCAATGGCATATCTTTTACACATTATCGTAGATTTGACATAATATCGTACAGTAAAAATGGAAAATAATATATACAAGTCCCAGAAATTTTTCTGCTTTCGTCTGAGGCGAAAGTACCTATATCTTAATACTCATAGGGAAGTAGATTGTCACGTGATATACGAATTTAATAATGATGAAGTCAGCAGCCTTGGTACCGAGCAAGGTCCATAGTAAGATGAAAATGATGATAAAGATGAAACAAATGTTCTGGGCAGTTTAGTCAAATACTATAATAAATCTAGAACGATGTATAAAAGAAAAGAAATTAAGGAAACAAAACAAAAAAAGAAACAATTTTTCACGGACAAATCAGTATTTCTCATTCAATTAATTCAGTTCTCACTTCGCGACAAGGCAAAAACATAAAAACTAAAAATATCTATGTTAAAAATTACGAAGTAAATCTTAAACACTTATTTTCTCGAAAAAATTCCAGAAAGGATTAAGCATGATTTAATTCGCAATAATAAATGAAGGCGTTATCTTTGTTGTTGCGAAGCTTAGTCTCTCTAGATTGTCAACAAATGTACTATTCTGTTGTTTCAAATGTAAACAAGCTATGGCCGACATGGCAAAAGTTATTAGGCTTAGCCGCACTTAAGCAACTTTTAAATTGTTGATAATTCTAAAAATATTGCATACAGATTTACTAAAGGCATAAAAACCTTAACAGGGAGATAAGAACAGCACAATTCAATCATTTTAAAGCAAAAAATGCACAATTTACAAACATATAAGAGTAAAGAAACTGAGATCACTGAGTGGATATATATATATAAATATATTTATACGTTGGTTGGTGGATTGCAACCCAAAATACGACGTGCACAATCTACATGTTATAGCAGTCCTATATACAAAATTTCAACGCTCTGAGGCTACTACGTTTTTGAGTTATGCGCGATACATACGTACGTACTACAGATACCCGAAAAAAAGCATTCTTTTTTTAGAATTCCTTTTTCACGCCATCGTTATTCTTTTTTTCGAGAAGCAGCGTCCTTTTTTTTTTTCGTAAGAAAATTGTCACCAAAAACCCCATCGATTTTTTTTTTCCAAGATTTTTTAATAGAAAAGGGAAAAAAAGAATTTTTTTCCTGTGTACTTTTTTTTTTCCTGCCTTGGGACTGTGTCTGATTGCCTTCAAAATCGATAGAGTTATTCAAAATATAAGCCAAACTAAGGCTGCTTAAAAAATTAAATGGTTGATTAAATTCGAAACCAAGCTGTTTCTTGATTTAATACATTACTTGGTGACATTTCTCTTTGACTAAATTTTGCTATTTTTGTAATCTGTTTCGATCTATTTGACGACACAATATTTTCAACATATTAACCGAACTGTTGATCCAATAAGTGAAGTAATTTTCAATGCTTTTGGTATACAAATTAGCAGGACTTCAGGAAATCGACAACAATTTCAGAATGATAATATTAACCGCGATCCCATAAAGCGACGTGTACTTCATTTCATTTAAATTAAATATTCAAATAGACTTTCAAATGTGTCTGAAAGCTTGTTCTGCCCCAGTACTTTTTTGACACACTGTATATTTATTTTCTTACAGCTCTTTAAACAGTGAATAACTATTTCAACTCAACAGTAAGTGTTCTTCAGGCGCTTTTGACTTAAATGCCATAGTTTTAGAACTCGCGTTTCGGTACTGTCTCAGCTCATTGCTTTTGATTCAAATGAGCTGTTTAGATTTAGTAAAATCAGGTTTTGGGTGCTTATCGAATACTGCTTTCTTGTTATTATAAATTAAACAGCAAAAATATTTGAAGGAAAGAAGAATTTATAAAATTATCTTACAGCATTATGGAACTTGGTTAGCTTATGATCTGCAGATCTCTGAAGCTGCAAAATTACTCACACGTATTATTTCGTGAATGCTTGCATCAATTCTAACGAACTCGGGTCTTTAATAATGCTCGGATGTGTGTTTTTTACTATCTTTTTCTTCCCCGAAACACGTACGAATACTGAACGCAACGGAGGCAAGCTGGTTAACGCTTTACACAGCTAATTGTATCCAACTAAGCGCTTATTTACAACGAACGGCCTCAGAACATCTCACGCAAATACGCTATTAGTTTTGACACGGAATATTAATGCGATAAAAAGCTGTTATTAATGCACCCGCTAGGCCTGCCTCACATACAAGCTGTTCCGGAAGATTTACGACCGCCAAAACTCGCCAAAGAAAAAGATAAGTAAATAAAGGGAAAAAGGAGAACGATAAGGTATGGAGAAGTAGTAAAACAGGAGAACAGAGGGGGGGGAGGCGAAATACAAAAACCGCAGCGCATGATTATAACCTTATTCTCGCAGAAAATAAATGCCGACCAGTTTAATCTTCTGGTAATAAAGCACTTTTGACAGAATTCCTATAAAGTAGGATCGAAAATAGAAGTGCCATAAAAGGGTAGAGAGCAAAAAAATATTAAAAAAATTGAGGGGTTGCAAAATAAATGGTAAAGGCTGAAAAAGTATCTGCTTCACGGTTTTGCGAGCCGACGCAGCGAGCGAATTGTAGACAATAAAATGTTGGCCAATATATCACGCGCGGCATCCATATAGACGATCATTTTTGCCGCGCGTGGATTGCCACATTTGGCGACTTTGTTTCGTTTTTGGCAATGAAATACGCAATTTAAAAACAATATTTAGTTTCTAGAAAACACCTTAAAACCTTAAAAAACTAATAATTGGTAAGTAAATAACATATTAAAAGTATAATCTGAAAATTTTAGATTTCACTTTAACACCTTTAATTTACCACTTTTTAAGTTAATCAATAAAATAAATTTTATAATTAAAAAAAATTTGAAAGATTTAAATTGATTTAAAAATTACATCATTATGCAAAATCAATTACACAATAATTTAAAAAAAAATAAAATGCTTTCATTCAAAAGCTTCTTTCATTTTAATAAAAACAGCTTTCAATACAAAACAAAATTTTACCCAAAGAATTAAAAAATAAAAATAATTAAATATTTAAAAATTTGAAAATACAAAATTCATGATTTAAAAAAATTACAATTATGCAGTTTCTATATTTTTAAAATTTACATTCAAATCTCAGCAAGCAGCTTCCACTTCAATACCAAAACAAATTTTAGACCAAACAATTGTAATAAAACTACCACTTTAAGAATTTAAGATTCCCCCCCCCAATAGCATGACAAAATACAAAAAACGTTCAAGAACAGAACATAGTCATAGAAGTCATTGCCTCTCTGACCCGTCAATATCGGGTGGTCTTGGAGTCGTAAGCAAGAAGTGCCCCACAGCCACAAAGGTGGGCTCTGTTCATGGGTTCCATAAGGTCACGGAGTGGGCAAAATTGTTGATACCAATTCGGTAAAGATGTTCTCTCAGGCAATCACGGCGAGTAAGAATTCAAGAATTTAGGATATAATAAAATATATTTAAAATGACTAGTTAAAAAATTTAATAATGCCAAATGATAGGGAAAATGTTCCTATAATACAATTTCCTCGTAAATATTGACTTGTGCACTTACTTAATAAAGGAAAGATTTCATATTCAGCACGTAGCTGTGCATTTATCTCACTGAATCATTTGCACACAAGGCTTGGATCAAACATTTCCTGTCAAGTCGGAATATTCTTTAAAAATATAACAAATCCGCTTAGTGAAAACGATAACACATCATGAATAAGATGTTTAAGAACAAAAAATAAAATAAAATTTAATTTAATTTAAAAAGTAAATTAAATAAAATTAAAAAAATCTAATTTATCAGCAGTTTATGCAACTTTGTTATTTAATAAATATATAATCAAAGGTTTAACTGTATATATTACCAATAAATTTATAAAATTCGGTAACACATTTGTCCAATTATATGTATTATAATACATTTTGGATATAATAAACATGCAGTTCATAAATAATACTTTTTCATCATCGTTGTGGTCTTCCAACAGATTTTGTATGGTTTTTCAGAAATCAGAAAAGAATTTAAGATGTCGATAAAGCTTGAAAAGTCGATCGTGGGTCAAATAGTTTACTAAAATCAAAAATCAATAACTGTGATGAATTGTGCAGTTTAATATCGTTAAATGTGACAGACATGCAACGCTGACTTATCTGAAAGTAACTGGTACATTTATCAGGGTACTTTTGCATACTTATTAACGGATAATCGGAAAAAATACGACACCACGTTAAATTGTTATGTTTCAATCTACGGTTTTTCGTGCTGGATATTCATCAAACTTCACACGATTCGTTTAAACCTATAAACTTTATGTGAAAGAGTGGGAAATTTAGGAAGCAAAATTCAATTCCCTCCAATTATTATATAATTAGAGACTCCCCTACATTTCTATATTTATGTTTTTCCTTTCACAAACTACGTCGAGTCAAATATCGTTGCATCATTTGCTTAAGTTATCCTGATGTTTGTTTATAATGTTTATCAACTGTCTATACATGTTTCGATAATTATGTCTTTCTACATAAACTTATGCCACTAATTGAGAAATTGAAATTTTACCGTGTTCTTTTCCTGATTGCTGAAATTAGGAGGGGAAAAAAGAACATGCTAAAGAACAAGATTGCTGAAATCAGGGAAAAAACATGCTAAAGAACAAGCATAGCTTGTTTGGATTACGAGGTAGAGTGAGAAGTGGAAGGGGTACCAGTCCGTCTCCAATTTGCCACCAGGTAACGCTTCTAACCATCCTGAGCACAAGCATCCAACGGCTACTGTGAGCATCATCTGCATTGGACATTGAATCACGCACAAGTCCACAACAGCGGGCAGCGGTGCCACCTTCAGTGCCCAGCGGGCATCACCTCAAGAATGACTAGTTCCAATAATCAGTTCGTTCAAGAAAAGGTAAAATTATTAACATTTATATTGTTGCCTTGGTACAATATTACTTGGTGCATTCGTCAAGTTAATTCGTTTTTGCTTGTAATTCATAAATTCAGTCCTAAAATAATGCACTCTTAAATGCTGTCCTAATACAAATATTTTTGAATAAACAGTAATACGATCTTAGTGCAACAAAATAAAATAAAATATTTAAGAGTTATTGCAACAGTTCAAAGATGCTATTAGTAATAGTAGTGTAATGTTCTTTTATGTTACTTGACACAAACTACCCTTCATTTGCAAGTTTGTTTATGATATTGTTGATTAAGGCCGATATTTTAATGATAAATTTTTAAATATCCCAAACAATATTTTGAAGATGTGTCAGATGAAATTCCTTGGTGACAGAGCATCGGAAGACGTAGTGGTCTGAATCTACCTGTTCCCCAACGTATGCAAGTGTTAGTAAATGAAATATTTCTATCGAAGAAACAGTTTCCTTGAAACTTATTGGAAGAAATCACGTGTTTATCTCCTTTCTGACGAGTAGTCCCATTTTTGTTGTTAACTTTCCAGTGCTATTTTTTTTTTCCAGTTTATATTTTAGGAGAGAGCGAGGATAAGGGATATTGACAAATGAACCTATATGAATTTAGCTGTTTGCTTTGCAAGTTCATCTGCCTTCTCATTTCCTTAATAGCTGGAGTGGCCTTTTATCCAGGATATTGTGCAGTTGATTTGTATTGGGTTGAGATTTGATTAATGCCCTGTGCTATTGGCTAAAAGTTAATTGTATTTTTGATAACCAGAAACTTGGCTGTCGGTGAAACCTTTTATATTCTTCAAATGTAATTCAATTGAATAGGAGACTGCTGCTTTTATCGAGGTTAATTCTGCTTGGAAAACGCTGTTGTTGTTCGAAAGGTGTCTCTGACATGTAGTGGATTTTCTAGAGATACTTCGATTACAACCGCTGCTTCCACCCCGTTATCAGTTTTTGAATCATTGGTATATGCTACTGGAGAATGTTTGTGGGTTCTGCTTAGATGAATGTTAAACTGTTTTTTTTTTTTTTTTTTTTTTTCAGGTAATGCCGGGTATTTTTGGTAAGAAGAAAATCGCTCTCTCATTTTCACACTTTAGTTGTAGAACTTTGGTATTTGCTGTTTCAGTTTCTACCATAATGTTGAGGTGAATTACCTCCTGTAAGAGCATTTAGGGCTACATTTGATGTCGTTCTGTAGGCCCTAGTGATTTATAGTAATAAAAGTCTTTGTACCATTCTAAGTGCCCTTAGTTTTCTGGTAGTTATCGGATGTGCCGATATTGTCGCTTCATATGTGATCATTTTAAAGATGAGCGCTTTAAGTAGCAGCTTCGTTATATGGTGATTTAAGCTGCATTTTAAACCTTGCATACGACGTAAAGTTGTAGCTATTACATTTGTTTAGGGTGGTTTCAGATTTTAGAGGTGCGAAATACAAAAGAGTTTATTGCCTATTGCTATTGTAATATCAATATATTCGATGCTTCTTATAGTTTTAATTCTATAGCCATCCATTTTTGGAGGTGTATTTCTTTTTATTTTTCCCTGGTTTATGAATTATTAATACTTTTGAGATTTCAACGACGCAATTATTAGCTTCATTTGTTGGTACTGGTTTTTGAAGATATTACATGTTTCGTTACTATTACTCTTTAATGCTTCTACAGCGTTTTGCCACAAAAGCTACGTCGTTTGTATAATCAATAAGCAAAAATGTTGGCATGAAGAGACCAGTTGAAATTGTCTGCTCTATTTAGTGTAATATTTCACATGTCTGCACTCATGCACGATCCTCTGGATTGGTTTCTTGAGATTATGGCAGTGTTAAGCAAAATGATACTCTTATGCTTGCAGAGAAAATCTTTAGTAATCAAAAAGATCTTTTTAGGGCAGTTGATGTTCCTGAAAGCTAGGAGTGTCACAGGACATTAGAAAGAGTCAAAGGCGTGAAAGAGGTCCAGGCAATCGTTTTATTACTGTTTTACCTGTTTAACTAGAAAACCGATGGCGTTAATTGTGGATCACTGACTACGGAATCCATACTGAAGAGGATTTATGAAATCGTTTTAAAAAAAATGAATTTTTAGTCTTCCAATGATGCGTTTTTAGAGAATTTTCGCCAAAGTTGGGAGAAGTTTGATGGGTCTTCTCCCATTGAGAATTGAGGTCATCTGGATTTTTATTATTCTGAAAAATAGGACAATCTGTCCAGTTTTAAGGTAAGGAGGGATGGCAGGTAGTTGTAATCATTTGTTACAAAAAGCCCTTATTATTCAATTGTATGCCGGATATGTTAATATCATAATTTCATTGCGTGTGGCCTTGGTGTTTTCTTTCTTGCTAGACTTTTGATTATGTGGGTGATTTATAAAGAATAAAATGGCTGCTCATCTGTTATGAAGGGAATTTTTCTGCAATTTCTTCATACCCTCTGTTCTTCAATGTCTTTATTAGAAGAGTCTGATACAAAAAGTATTAGATTAGGCATTCATTAGATTTGTTGAAGAATGCATGGAGACCGGCAGATATATTTGGGAATGTCTGAATACTTAAGTCGTTGCGATTCCGTAGAGAAGGCCATATGTATCTTTCTTTTTAATGCAGTAATTATGCCAGTACCTCATATTTGTTGGAATAATTATTTTATAATAGATTACTTTCTTTGTTATATTGTTTCCATGTAGTTTTCTATATATTTTCGTCTTTTGCATAATTTAATTTCTTTCTTTTTAATAAACAATCAATATAATAATAATAAACAATAAATATTTGAACCACATCGATTCTGCGCTCTTCGTAAAAATAATTTCGTTTATTTTATATTGTAAGGCCTTCCGATTTTGCTGGATGCTCTTTACAACACTCGGAGTACAAATTTTCCGCGTTTAATTGATCCAATCTACTACTTTTTTGTTGGCCATATTCAGTTGACATATAGTGACTAAGAATGTGCACTTTTTTTATGACAGGATCCTATAATTTTGAAAATAATCCACTGCTGTTATTCCGTAGAAAGCAGGCCCCACATTTTAGTAATCTTCATTTTTTTTCCAAAATGCAAAGGAAAAAAGGTGGAGCAATAGCAGCTAATATCTTGTTCATAAAAACTAAGCATGATTTATCTAGAATCAATCGAGTTATATCAAATAAAGACGCGGGTGTTATGAGAGTTAAGTTACGCTTATCCGTAATTGGAGCTAAATCATATTGCTTGGTGAAAACTTCATGGTTGATGAGATAATGTATTAAGTACTTATAGACCACTAGTCGTCCATGAACCACAGCTTGAAAAACATTGCCTCAGGCACTTAAAAGACTTTGGTGCTCCCGCATGCATTTACAATATAGCGTGTGCCCTCCCCCCATTACCTCGATTTCTGTCTTATTTTATCTGCAGTATACATTTTATAGTACAACTGATGATGAGAAATTTTTGTAGTACCCCCTTTCTTTGAGTTCTGAAAACCTTTTTATTTTGTTTTCTTTCACTGATGACTTAAGCACGCACTTATTTTCATCATGATTAGTCCAGCCCTGGCTTGCACTCATCGGGCTTGGAAACTGTCCACTCCCATAAGTGCTACATTTGTAAATAAATCCTTTATTGATATTTGTGCCCTAATTTGCAGTTTAAAATCAAGAATAAGGAATTTCAATTTATGGGGACAATCGGAAAGAGAAACTCGATATCTTAAAGGGTTTCCCGATTTGTTGAAAGCATTTTACTTATAATTTATAAATTCCAAAATATTTTGCTAGAAATCCTATGCCGAACTAAATTTTCAATATCAGAAGTCAATATTCATGACCAATAACTTGACCCAAATGTTATCGGCGGCTGGTCTTTGACGTTTCGATGAGATTGCACCAATGGGAACAATGGCGAACTGACTGCGCCACAGAAACAGTGCTTTATTTTTCTCTCGGTTTTAAAGAACTTGACATATTTTCTTATTAAGAAAAAGAGATATTTCAATGAAAGGGATCAATGTACAAGTAATGATATTCATTTTAAAAATCTGAATTTATTTAACAAATACTGGTGTCAGATTATGAATAGATTTCTGGAAACTTATATAGTAATACATATATCTGGATTGGTTCGTGAAACAAAAATTACGGCACTAAAAGAAAATTTAAGTTATTCGTATTTTAAATGCGTCAATTATGATTTTTTTCCTTCAAAGGCCAGCAAACAGATGAATTACGAATTCCGTATTAAAGAGTTAATGAAATAGAGGAAAAGATTAAAAAAAAAAAAAACTTTCGTAGCCAAAGGATGTCATCCATGAAAGAAAAGAAAACCCATAACGGTATTTAGAGAAGAGAAAGGTAAGCTGAAAATAATCGTGAACTAAATTTGCAAAGTATTTTATATTAATTAAAGAATTTGTTGTGATTTGAACCTTTACTATAATTTCTTCTTTCCTTTAGACCTCACCAGAATGCAAATTAGATGTAAAGACAACGAATTTTAATGCATAGTACCTGCATGCGAGTAGTTAGGCTCAGACTTTCTAAGTGATTCCAGTAGTAACCACTTGGTGAAAGTTTACCCGATTGCTCCCATAGTCACGCTTGTTTCTTTGGAAACACAGAGGCGAATCAACGCGTCTAGTGGAATGTCATAAGCTCAGCATGTGTGCATCCCTTTGTGTTTGCGAGCATAAAAGGGGCGAATGTACCAGACAATGGAGATTTTTAGCAATTTCAGAAAACTCTTTTATTTTTTAATTTTTTTTTCATGGAAACTAGTTCCATATGAAAATTAAAGAATTTTCTTATGTATTTTAATCCAAAAATAAAGGTTTCATTTCCTTTAACTTCGCAGTTCTGATTTGATAATTGTTTGTTATATTACATAGAGTATTTAAAAGCGAGGCTTTTAAATGTTTTAGAGATAGCTGCTTAGAGATGGCTGCGCTTGCAGCTTTTTTTTTCTACCATCTAGCTCTGTCTGTTAA